AACACTTTCGTAAGTGGCATCGTTCTTAACCCTGCTCCTGAAGATGCCACTTATGAAAGTGTGCGAAACGTTGAGTCCAAAAACTCAATTTACACGGTTCCAACCCGGAAAACGATCATGTATTGATTCCGACCGTGGAAGCCTCCGAAATTAGATGGTTAAACGCTAACCAAAATTTTGCTAATCATCCCCATCAACAATCTGATGACGTCATTTCAAAGAATTCTATGTTTGTTTGATTTAACTGTTATACAGCATTATAGTCCTGTAAGTGTGGTGTACGAATCCGCTTTGAATTTTTCCCTAACCGTCCAACTTTTTGCAAAAACATAATGCAGGGTATAAGAACAGTTTACTATTAGCGTAAGACATTTCGGTCGTACTCTAGTAGTTAGTTACAAGTCAGGAAAGTGAACCGAACGTCACGCGTTCGATTCCAAACTTAGCCTTTTCTTTTTTTTCTCTTTTTCTCTCGTATGTGTATTATCTATGTCTATGACGTCATAACAAATTTTCTATTGATGAAATTACCACACTTTCTCAAAAAGGTGAGAGGGCCGTATTTGAAAATGTAAAACCTTCTCGGGGGCGTCAAATATCTTTTTTAAAGAATGTGTAACCTTCTCGATGGTCCCAACTGTCTTTTTTTAAGAATGTGAAACCTTCTCGAGGGTACCAACTGTCCTTTCTTAAAGAAGGCGAAACCTTCTCGGGAATCCTAACTGTCTTTTTTAAAAATGTAAAACCTTCTCGGGGGCCCCAAATGTTTTTTTAAGAATGTGAAACCTTCTTGTAGGTACCAACTGTCCTTTTTTAAAGAAAGCGAAACCTTCTCGGGGGCCCCAAGTGTATTTTTTACCAATGGAAAACCTTCTCGGGGTGCCAAATAATGTCTTTTCTAAAAATATAAAACCTTCTCAAGGGCCCCAAATGACTTTTTTTAAGAATGTGAAACCGTCTCGGAAGTCCCAACTGTCTTTTTTTAAGAATGTGAAACCTTCTCGAGGGTACCAACTGTCTTTTCTTAAAGAAGGCGAAACCTTCTCGGAGACCCCAAGTGTCTTTTTAAAAATTTAAAACCTTTCCAGAGGCGTCATTAGTTTTTTTTAGAATGTGAAAGCTTTTCGGGGGTTCTAACTGTCTTTTTTAAAAATGTAAAACCTTCTTGGGGGGCCAAATAATGTTTTTTCTAAAAATGTAAAACCTTCTCAGGGCCCCAAAAGACTTTTTTTAAGAATGTGAAACCTTCTCGTACTTCAGGAGTGAGGAAAGTTCTGTCAAAACAACTTTCGACCAATTTGGTGAACGAGAACAAAATAAAGTAAGATACAATAATAAAATATACCTACTGTTTTATTTGAAAACTGAAATATCGATATTTGAATATTACAAAGTTTTTTTAATTTCTTATAAACACAGTATAGATTAAAATTTGATTTAATTGGTAATCCCTCCACAGAATATTGTAATTTTACAAATAACCCATTACGATTTTTTTAACACTTCCATTGCCAAAAATTTCAAGAAAATTGAAACAACGTGACAACGTCAAAATGAGTCAAAAGGAGAATATATAAAAATATATAGGGTATTTCATTTAAGAAAACTAAGTTGTGTGTAAGACCTTAAAAGCAGAACAGTCTGTATAGTTAAATCTAATTTTAGAGTATGTCGTCAGAGTCATAGAACTTTGGGTTTTGGTTTATTTTGACAGCTATTTTGTAGTTTAAACTACAGGAAGCAGTTCTTGCCACATTGCCTCTTCCTATAGTTATTTTGTCGATGAAATATGGAAAATAGTGAACCATTAAAAGGTTTCCATTGCAAAATCTTCCGAAATATTACAGAATGTACCTTTATTTACTTAACTTTCTTAAAATTTCACCCTCGGAATCATAGGTATTTTTTTTTGACGAACTAATGTGAAAGTACAATTCCATTCATAGTATATAGTATATATGGTACTCAATTAAAAAACTCATCAAGTGTGTCTTAATTTTTTGTAAACATTGTAAAGCATATCTACCTAACATAATACAATCTAACCTCACTTTTTCGTATAATAAAATTAACGCTTTTCAACAACTCTGTCAAGTGTCAGTTATACACGCTATGTTTCCCTCTATCAAAATAATAACGCCAACTTGACAACTTTTTTTAACTGAATACTCGTTATTATGTTATTAATGTTTGACAATTTATTGTTCTAATGATATGACTACCACTTTTAACTTGGGGTTAAACAGCTTTGAAGATCAACGCTTTTTGATTGCAAACTGTTTTACCGTTTTTTAGGGTCTATGCAAAACGTAGAACAAAACTGACAACTAATTAACGGCTAAATGAACGCTATGTAGCACAATTTTGGATGTGTGATATGTAACAAAAATAACATATTATTAAACTAAAATGATTGTAACTCTATAGTTTATGTATGAGATTTCACTTTAATATAGTGTTTTAGAGGAAGTGCAGCTTTTAACTTCTTTTTTTTTTTTGGAATCAATACAACAATACTGTTTTCGTTGAACTTTAGCCGCATTTCTGCTGCAAATGTGACGTGGTATTAGTTATTGAAAAAGCTTTGTCTGATATTTAGCAATTTGCCATACGTTGTAGTGAATAGTTTAATAGACACAATGTTGAAAGTACGCTGTCATGCCTCTGCTAAAACATGAATTTTCTAAATGCTCTTTTCGACGAAATAAGTAACAGAATAAACACACCGGGGCCCCTTACATGACGCTTCTCTGCCATGCATGCCTAAATCCACCCCACTTCCGTGGGAAAAATGCGTTTTTCTAATCCTGTGTTGCGGCCTATACATTATTAATGCGACTATTTCGCAGTTGCACGAATTCCCAAACAACCCTACAGCGTGTCCCATTGCACACAATCAGGTCCTAATCTAAATCGTTATTGGTCATATCACTTTTCGATCTCAACGTTATAAACCCAAAACTTCGGCAATAAGAGAAAACGTATAATTAAACCATTTAATGGACCGAACTCCATTAATCCCATCTTTAGACACTAATCCCCTTACGCATTAACATTAACAAAATTACGCCTAAAACGATCAAACCATGTAATAAACGGCTCGATTCCAATCAGGATACGTTTTAAAGTTCAAGGCACCTGATTTCACACCTACTTGATCGATTTAATGATAGTTCCAGGACGACAATGGCCAGTAATACGACTCAATCCGCCTCAGTGCTACCAGTGTGGGCAGCGGAAACAGAACGAATTAGGCTTTGAATAATTGCCACTTACTTACAGGTCTTGACCATAATGTGAAAATTACTGGCAAAGGGAAGCGATACACTGAGAGAAATGTTTATTGCTCTCTAATAAAATCTAGGCTTAATAATTCTGTCGTTTAATTGCAGAGCAAATCGGACCTCTATTATCCAGTAAAAAACGGTTTCTATGATTAAACGAAACAAATCGATTTTCATTTTTAACGCGGTTACAAATCACAATTTGCAGTGCAAAAATTGAACGAAACAACGCAAACTACAGAAACAATAAACTTGACACAAAACTCCAACGTGTTTCGCTAGGAACGTTAACGTCATCATGGTGCTTAAACACTAACAAAGAGACTGGCTAGTGGCTATTCTATGCATATGTTTTACACGAGCACGCCTCCTTCCTCCACTCTTACAATACGCAACATAACAGAGAGGGGCAGGTGATAAAATAACTAATCAGCATTAGCAAATAAGAACTTTATTCATAAACACATTTCTAAAGCATTTATAAATTAAAATCATTAATTGCTTTCACTAATTTTTAAATTTTTTAAAAAATATTGAATATACAGAGTGGGCCACTAAGCGCCCGTACCTCCCAAATCTCATTAATTACTGAAAAAGGAAAAAACCCAGGCACTACAGTTCTACAGTTCAAAGAACTTTCTTTTTTGTAATGTAATTTCTAGATCTAAAGTTGATATTTTTTCCGATGATATTCCAGGTTTAATCATTCAAAAGAGTTCTCAAAAATTTTTCTCACACCTATTCTGTTCTGGAACCATGCGATTTGTACCTTTTTAAAATCACATCTTTCTTGAACTTTAAAAGCATCAATTACTTTCAAAGTTATCACTTAACGTATCTAGTAAATAAATAAGGTCACATATTATTAGCAATCAATTAATCACTCACTACTTATTGATCTTCAAAATCTTACAAATCCAGTTTTACACAAGTCAAATACAACCAACCAAATCAGTAAACTATTGAAATGTGTTTGTAAAAACTATGTTGCAACAATGAAAAAATTGGTCTAAGGTTATTTCGAAAGAACTTCCCTCATCGCTGAACTACAGTAGTCTGCTAAAAGCTCAAAAAAAGCAATGGAAAAAGTATATTGCAGAAATACCATTTAACTTTTTTTTATTTTTCAGTTTTCCAGTTTTAGTTTAGCTTTATTAAGTACTCTAGTTAAGTTTCGTAGATTATTGCCATTTTTCTTTAAAAAAAATAATTAATTTTGTCGTTAATAGCAAAATGTATTATTTTTTTCGTTCCCTAGTGCAACTTAACGTAAAATTGGGCAAATTGTTGGACTGGATTTTTCAAAAAAGCATAATAAAATCGGTTTTAGAAAACAAACGACTGAAAATGCTTTATGAAAATACTATTTTATAAAAACAAAATAGAATGTATCAAAAATAATATTGAACAGAGTATTTTTTCTCAATTTTATGGTATGAAAAAAATTCAGATTAATTAAAAAAATGGGCTGATTTCTTTTATCATTTTGCTTTCTAGCAATTATTTCATGTTAATGAAGCGATGCATACATAAAACTCACTCGTTTTTATTTATAAAATAATTTCGTTTCATAAAAAACTTATTCGAAGTGTCTCGTTTTAGTCACCCTGTACAATAAATCCAGATTTTTCCAATAATTATAAGATTTGATTTGGCGTGGGTAAAACTCAATAATTTATTTCTCAGTAACTCAAATTTGCACGACTAATTATACAGCGATTATGGACAGAATAAATCCGACTCGACTGGAATGGATTTGAGTAGAGTCTACTTCTATTGTCCGGACTTCACTGACTGCTCCCGATGGTGCTTCCCATTTAAACAGCACGCCGTCCTTTTCGAAAGATCGCCGTCACCACTTCTAGGTTTGTTCTGGAGCACTCATCGCGACTTCCGCTTCCAGGTTTTTCTTTAGCGAACGTCGTCCGGCCGATGTCACCGCCGATGAGTCATCGTTGCACATACTAGAAAACCCATAGGCGTCGTACCGGGGCGGCGTATCGGTTTATTTACTATTGTGCATTTTGGACATGACGTCATCAAATTGTTGGTATGCCGTAATCAAATCCATCGCCGATTCCCTACTCCATATGTTTTCTCGACCTGTCATGACCTCTAAAGTTCGAAAAAATAGGTTTCCCGCTTCCATCAGTCTCTCTGTCTGTCTCTCAGTTTATCTGTTGTCAGTATCCATTTTTATTCGACACGTACTCCGAAACTACCAGATCGACTGTTGTCAAATTTTGTATGTATATTAGGCATACCATGTAGATGGCAAAACGTTAACCAAAATTTAGTCAATCATCCCCACCAACAATTTGATGACGTCATTTCAATGAATTCCATTAGAAGGAGCCACCCCATTTTCTCGAAAATGTGAGAATACGCAAGGCTTAATCTAATAATAATAAAATAAGAATTATATTTTTTTTGTTCAATTGTGGCTTAATAATAATTTTAGTCCTTCCTCTGTTTTAAGAAGAGAAACTCATTTAGACCAGACTAATTTATACGTGACATTCGGTGTATACACATAAACACTTAAGTTAAGTTTGCTATTAGTGCTGAAAGGACATTTTATCCCATTGGATATCTGCTTTAAATATATCTTACATTGTCCGTACGTGGAAGCGCAAATTCCAAGAATGAATTTGGACTCCCACGGCGCAGGCTTTGCGGGGGTGTTTTTATCCCACTGATTTTTTGCTTTATAGAGGTTATCACAAAACGAAAATCGCAAAATCAAGTTTTATACACTGACCGGCAAAAAAATTATTAATTTAACTAGTGATCGGTATTTTATTAAAGAACCATTCACTATTGACACATGATGTATAAATTAACAAATAAAAGAAGACAAATAAACGCAGAATTAAAATTAATTTAACAAAATGCATAACATAAATACGTAGAGCAACAATTTGAGAGACGTCTGTAAGAATTAACGGAATTGTTTTCGCGTGAGAACGTTTACTAATTGCCAAACTTATAATCAAATGATGAAAAACACTGTTTACAACAACAGTCTCCTTTATTGTTTTTTTTTTTAAATATCGTACTGTTATTTTGTTAAATTAAATTTAATTCTGCGTTTATTTGTCTTCTTGTTTTTGCTAATTTGTACATCATGTGTCAATAGTAAATGGTTCTTTAATAAAATAACGATCACTAGTTAAAGTGGTTTTGCCAAATTTTTCAGGGTGGCCGGTTTTTTTCTCGGTCAGTGTATTTTTTTAAAGAAGCCGGATTTGTCGAATTATACTTCATTATACCTTTGACCAATTTTTTACAAAAGCCCCATGAAATAACACGAAGTCTCACGATCATAGAATGTTTAGTAACCTTAAACAGTTCAGGGAATAAAAGCTAACAACCTATTATTTGTAGTCATGCAGCAAATAACAGTGGTAAAAATTGGCCGGTGGAATATCGGAATAATGTAAAATTTTTATTAAGCGTTAGTAATTTTCCCCCAAATAATCAGTTTATTGCTCCCATTTTTCTCAGCGTATTGATTAAGTTGTTTGATGTTTGTAATCGCTTTAAAATTTCGCCGGTTATTACAAGGTTTAATTAAATTTTTCTGGTGCTAAACGCTCGCCGAAGTGAAAACACACAGAGCTTCCTCGAAGCGTTTGCCTGGCTAAGGGATTACTATGAGCAAATATGCAAATTTAGTAAAACTTCCAGCCAACTTGTATTTGTATGTATGATTACGTTGGTATTTCATGCTGGGTTTACAACCAACTTATCTCTGTCAAATGTCTTTTAGTTAACGCTATTTACAAACTGCGGAAACGTGGGCCTACGGTTGCTGCAAAGGCTTTTGTGATATTTGACAACTTAACCTTTCCCAAACGTTATCTTGTCTCATGGTGTTTGAAGAATTTTGCTAACAGAATTACATGGTGTTTAGCCGGGCTTAATCCCCCTGAGTAAACAGAACCGTTACTGTGGTTATTATTCAAAATTAAATTTTTTCGAGCTACGCCGGATCTCCACTTCCGAATTGGAAAAAGTTAAATCGCTTTAGTTTTTCACAAAGTTCTTCCGAATTGGAAACTTAACGTGGAAAAAAGTATAATAGACATTGTATCAGGCGAGGATAAAAATAGGACTACATCTATCGTTCCTGAATTATGGCTGCTATTAATCAATCTGCAAACATTGACGTTTACTCATCCTATAACAATTCATCATGTTTCTGAAACAATGTAACCCATTCGCATACGGATAACACCGACGACACGAACGCAAAATAAATCGAATTGTGATAAAGCCTTATCTCTGCTTGTAAAAAATACAGACACATCTACCTGATTTACGAAACAGTGGACATTTCGTCAAAATGTGTTAATCGAGTTGTGGCGGAGTCTTTATGAATCTCCACATAACATAACCGCTCGTGTTTACACTGCTATGTTTATGGATAACATGTTAATCAGTTTTGCCGTTTACAAATTAAACAAAGCCTAGTTCTAATTTTAACACAAACAGTTGTATGCTGCATGACGAAATTAGAATAATTGCGTAATTTTTGTAATTGCTTTTCGCAAAACTCGATTATTTTGATTCAAATGCAGATGTGTAATTGCAAAAGTTGTTAATTTTCGTTGTCCGCTACCGAGCTTACGCGGACGTGCAAAAAAACTTCCCATAAACGAATTTCGTCCGACTCGAAAAAGTCCAATCGCAGCTTTTTTCGGAATAGCGACACAAATTCACTTATTATACTTCCAATATTGTTCCGTGGAATAATGGCATTTAATAAATCTGACTATAGAGGGTCTTCGAATAATTCGGCAGTTTATCATACGAGGGCCAACTATAACATAAGTTTACCACCATAATCATAAAAAATATGTATGGTAATATTTTTCTAACGTTTCCCTAGAAACGCTCCGTAAATCATAATTAATAAAAAAGATGTTATACGCCCGCCATCACGGTAAGTTTTAGCGCCGCGGCATAAACGTATCAGGATCAGCTTTTTTAGGGCTGAATTTTAATTAGGTCGTTACGAGTTTCGTTGCATCGCTTAACATAAAAATTATATAAAACTGAGAACTGTATAATTTTCGGGGCGCTTCTTAAATGATGAATAAAATTATGTCAGTTCTTTTTGCTCGCAACGTTCTGCCGCACCATTGCATCGTCGCTATACCGTCAACCGAAACAAATGGATACTGAGAGCGTCTTTTAAAGGTCTTTAAACAGGTAATAATCTGATGAAGCGAGGTTCCGACTATGATGGGTGAGATTTAGTTACTCAGCCGTAACAATAAAAATAATGTTGTGGTCGGGATGGAGTAATTTGTCTTTTTCGTCTATGACGCCGATGGCTTTGGACGGAAATATAAGACAATAAAACCACGAAATATTTCTTAATTTTTTTATCGTCCTTATACATTGATTTATTTACTGGGTTTTCCTCTTATTTTAATTGATTGCTGGATTGTGTTTTGGTTTCTAATACGAGTACGTAAATTTGGTGGTAAACTCTATAGTTATTTTAGATTGCCAAGATTAAAAACTTCAGAATTTTAACTTAGAACTAGCTTAACTAAAAAATATTTTTTAATCTTATTCATTATTTGTTACCCATTAGTTAAAATTTCGGTGATGATGTCACTCGAGTTAAAAGATTTCTGGTATATAAATTTAAATATTTAAACTATATTTCTACAGACCGACAGGTTGGATAGAAAACATACTACCTACCAGCGGATTATAATTTTTAAATTAAAAATTTATTTATAAAGTCATAAATATTAATGTTTTATAATGCGGAACGTGCAGTCAGCAGTGAGTTTACATTTAATTTCATAATTTTTTGTCCCGGTTCCTAGTTCCAGTGCTTTTGATTTCGTTGGTTTTTTTTTTATTATTTAATAATAATATATTGATGGTTGATTTGAGAACGTCGTACATGAATGCGAAAGTCCATCTGGCCTGTAGTTCTACAACATAAATTTTTTTATCTACGACTCTTTAATAATAGACGCATTATGTACGTAACTATAGATACATAATACCCCATATTAATCACTAGTGTTTAATGAATATTAAACACTAGTGAATAATGGATTTATTTCAAAATGTCCTAAAATACTGTTCCTTTTTTTCTAGAAAAATATAAACGTCAAAACTATGTATGTATTCGTTTTTTACGTGTTATATATTGAACAGTTATTATTCTGTGTAGGATTTAAAATTTAAATTTACAATCTAAACGGAATTCGTATTTCGCGACTGTAGATTGTAGATGGCTCTGACGTTGTTTACGTTGCCACCTGCTACTACGGACGCTTAGCCGCCATTGTGCGTATTGTTTTGAATTTTGATTTCTTGCGAAAATTTATTACCGACGAGTGTTTTTATAAGAGGTTATCATCAGTTATGATGGATGAAAACACTGAAAATCTTCCTGGCACACCTCCCGAAGTGGCAGAAGCAGCTGGTGCTGTTAACCTGTTACCAGAGAAATCTCAAAAATTGTACAAAATAGCGTACAATCAATTCATGAAGTGGAAACAAGAAAAGAAGATTACCTCATTTTCCGAACGGGTGATATTAGCATACTTTGCAGACTTATCAAGTAAATACAAAATTTCTACGCTGTGGACTTATTACTCCATGCTACGAAGTACTCTCAACATCAATCATAACATTAATATAGAACAGTACCATAAATTAAGAGCATTCTTAAAGCGTCAAGGAGAAAATTACCAGCCAAAGAAAGCGAAAACGCTTAGTCCTCAACAAATAACTAAATTCATCACTGAAGCCCCTGATGTAAAATATCTAGCAACGAAGGTAAGAAATTATTGTTTCAAAATTATGTTGTAGGTTCTCATTTATTATTTTTTTAAAGGTGGCTTTGATAATGGGCATAATGGGTGCATGTAGGACTCAAGAACTGCATTCAATGCGAATTCAAGACATCAAAGATTTGAATTCAGCTTTTTTGGTAACACTGCCCAACACTAAAACAAAGATTAGAAGATCTTTCACAGTAACTGAAGATTACTATTTAATATGCAAAAAGTATCTTGATTTACGTCCAGCTGAAGTGCAATCAGATGTGTTTTTCCTTAATTACCAGAATGGTAAATGTACTATGCAGAGAATAGGTATCAATAAATTTGGTGGTATGCCGAAAGAAGTTGCAGCATATTTGGGGCTCCCAAATCCAGAATTATTTACTGGACACTCTTTTCGTAGATCCTCGGCTACTTTATTGGTGGATGGTGGAGGGGACATAACCGATTTAAAACGCCACGGAGGATGGAAAAGCTTCTCCGTGGCAGAGGGCTACATAGATAACAGTGTGAAATACAAACTAGAAACATCAAAGAAAATTTTTAAACAGGTGAATCCCTCGTCAACACCATGTACATCAATTCGAGCTCCTGTAATGGCAGAAAACTGTGAAAACATAGAGGAGTATGCTGCTGTAAACTGCGATAATGTTGTGATGAATCCATCTCCCCCATGTACATCAAGTGAAACTAATTGTGGTTTAAGAGAAACTAGTAATTTTGTTAAAAATTCCCATTCCCTCAGTAGTAATGTCAGTGTTGACATGAAAGGCAAGCCAATACAGATTTCAAACTGCAGTGGCCATTTTACATTTAATTTTCTTGCTAAGACAAGTAATAATAATAATTAATTACTTATTTGTTTTGTTTATTGTTTCTGAAATAAATTATTATTTGTGAAACGTGTATAATTTGTTTAGAGTCGTAGATAAAACGTCGTATTTAACTAGCGCATAATGGCTATTATTCACACGGATGATTTACACACTCGCCTGCGGCTCGTGTGTAATTTTCATCCTCGTGAATAATATGCTACATTATGCGCTTGTCAAATAATATACTAATTTACTTTGATAAAAATATCAGGTGAGCAACATAATTTGCAATCGAGTCATCCTTGGAACTGAATCCGTATATTTTCTCTGAAATGATTTAAGTCTAATGCAATTAATTACCGATAATTTTGTAAACCTAATAATTGAAATAGACACCCAAAAAACCCAAAAACTAAGATCCTAACACATTCATACAACATCCATACCACATTTAGAGCAGCAAATAGTAGATATTATCGTATAGAAGTTGCCGAGCAATATTGCAAACAAATTTAGTATTATTTTCTTATCGAATAACATGCATGCAAGAATTACATGAAGTCGATTTCCGAACTAAGGTTAACTATTGTCAATGGTTTTGCACACATCTGATGACTGGCTATTGGAAAAGACGTTTTTTACAGATGAAACCTCTATTAATTCTCAAAATCCACATGTAAAAGTAGATTATTTTTAACAAGACGGGGCTACAGCACATTCGAATTAGACCACATTGACAACGATAACATTAGGGGAATTTTTTGGTTTATGAACCCCTGTTGAATTTATATCCTAGACATCCAGATTTTGGAGAAAAAAATCAAAATTGTAACTTCTTGCCATTTAACTTTGAAACTGCAAAACCGAATACTCTGAAATTTTACGAACGTTTTAAGGTTAATGGTAAATCGTTAATCAAAATTTGTTCGTTTATGCCCCTCTAAAACAATAATGACATCATTTTACAATTTTGCCGATTTAATTTATACTTATCTATTTACCAAATATGAATTTTGGGTGATTCGAAAATCATTGTTTGTTATTTCAAATCCAATTCTAATCTGAATGACTCGTGTTTATGGATTGAATTATCGGACGTTTTAGATGAAATTTCTAAACTGAAATCAGTAGGAAGTAAAATAGTACGTTTCACCCCATTTTTCTTCATTTATTTAAGCTTCCTTTAATCAAACAGGCCAATTTTGCCGTTGAACTATTTTATTTCTTTTTCATAAAATAAAGTAACTAAATTTTTATCGTGAAATTTTTTTTAAAGTTTTTTTAACATTTCACCACATTTTTAAGGTTCTTTTTTAAAAAGTTGCGGATTTCTAAAGATTTTTACCATCCATATAGAAACCGCTGACTTTGAGATTTTTACAAAGAAATAAAAAAAAAACACTTCAACGTCAAAACTAGCCGGTTAAAAAAAATGATAAATTTCCTTATAATAAATTAAAAAACAAAATGTGGGGTGACGCCTACTATTTTATTTACTACTAATTTCCCCTGCTTCTTTTGGTATTGCATACTACTGCATGTGTGATTCATGAATCCGTGTCGATTTGTTACCCTACACATAGAGATTTTTGGATAAAAAATCAAAATTGTATAATAACATTTTACAATTTAACTTAAAAATTGTAAAATCGAATGCTCTGAAACCTTAGATACAAGCTTTTTAAGATTATCCTAACGCATGGTAAATCGTTAATAAAAATGTTTTCGTTTCTTGCCTCCTAAAAAATGATGACGTCATTTCATTATTTTGCAGAACAAATGTTTCTTAAATTACATACAACTACATACTCCATGTACGTGTAATTTAGAATTCGTGTTGAGTTTTTACCCAAGACATCGAGATTTTTGGAAAAAATTCTAAATTTTATTTTACAATTTAACTTTAAAATTACAACACTAGTAGTAGTAGCTAGTACTTGCTAAGATAAGACTGGGTTTAGCGAATGACATACCGTCTAAGAAAATAAAGGGTGGGTGGGCGGGGCTAGTACTTGCTAAGATGAGACTGGTATTGCAAATCAAATACTCTGTAAGGAAATAGAGGGCGGGTGGGTGGGGCTAATACTTGCTAAGATAAGAATGATTTTGGCGAATGACCTCCAGGAAAATAAAAGTAGCCCTCCCCACCCTCTTCATTCTAATGACTATTTTTAATATTGTTCAGTCTTATCCTAGCAAATATTAACCCCGCCCACCCGCCCTCTATTTTCTTAGAGGGTATATCATTTGCCAAAATCACTCTTATCTTAGCAAATACTAACCCCGCCCACCCGCCCTCTATTTTCTCAGAGGATATGACATTTGCTAAAATCAGTCTTATCTTAGCCATTACTAGCCCCACCCACCCGCCCTCTTTTTACTAAGATAAGACTGAACAATATTAATAGTAGTCACTAGAAGAAGAGGGTGAGGCCAAACGTTTTTCCAGAAACGCCCAATGAAATATCGCAATTTTAAAAATTTCAAAAAAATCGAACACTGAACATTTCGAAAATATTTTCGTTTATGACCTCCTAAAAAATGATGACGTCATTTTCTAATATTGCAGAACAAATTTCTTAAATTTCATAGAACTACATACTCCATGTATGTATTGTATGTGTATTTAGAATCCGTGTTGAGTTTTTACCCTTGACATCAAGATTTTTGAACAAAATTCAAAATTGTATTTTAAAATTTAACTTTAAAATTGCAACAACATTTATATTTTATAAAATAACATATTCCTACATGTGTGATTAATGAATCTGTGTTAAGTTTTTACCCTTAGCACGAAGATTTTGGAAAAAATCAAGATTGTATAACAATATTTTACAATAATTTAACTTTGAAATAGCAAAAACCGAATGCTGTAAAGTCGTACAAATATTTTAATATTATTTGAAACATGTTAAATCGTTAATCCAAATTTATCCGTCATCTTATATTTTTGCCGAATTTCTTCAGATTTATGACTCTTCTTTGGGAAAGAAAACTAAGTATGAATTAATCAGTTAGTCATTTCCTCTGCGTTGAGAACACAAAATCAACCAAATTTCATTCTTTTTTAACAACTGATGCTTGTAATCTGAACGTGCTAATTGTAGAATTTGGCTGAAGTATAAACATAAACACTCAAAGTTAAGCATATACTGAGAAATTGAGAATGGCTACATTTTTTTCCGTTAGTAATCTGCTTTAAATATAGTTCATATTTAAAGAGCTGGAGTTACGGGGATGTTAATTAACGCAAAATCTAATTTTACAATTTTATAAAGAAGCGAAATTTGTTGCACTATACCTCAAGGGCTAGGGAAGTTTTGTCAAAATAACCTTCCACAGTTTTTTTACTAGCTTTGTTTTTCTTGGTAGTGTCATCAAAATAATGATAATAATAGTAATAATAATACCCAAACAATATCTGTGTACAATACAAAATTAGATTATGTTGATACTGAAAAAGAAATTTGAAGTGGCGAGTTGCTACTACTAGCAACCACTGACGTCATACTGAAAAGTGGAGGGAACTAAACACGTGGTCAACGCGGTATTGAAGAAACACCTAGCAGAAAACTGTATTGTAATTTAAATTAAAATTGTTACTATTTTTCCAAGGAAACAAAACTTGAGTGCGAATCACCGAAAGACTAGGACCAGACATAGACTTAAATGTAAAAACGAAAGTTTTTTAAGAGATAGCTAGAAGAAGGGACAGGAGGAATATTGAAACAAGTTTGTTCATTGACTTTTGGGCTTTTATTTAGAACATGTAAAACTTTAACATAATAATCCGGATGAATAGAGTGCCTATATTCTTAAATATCGAGTGTTTAATTGAAAAAGCCATCAAGTTGACTTTGATTTCTTAATTACATGGACTCTATTTACACTTACCAACCTGTATAAGGTACTCTAAGATTTAAAATTCATAATTCTGTACTCGATAGTTGGGTTAAGTCTGCTTTACGAAGAAAGTTGTCCTTAAACGTACAGCAATGAAAGTTTTCATATCCTTATTTATTTTACGACAAGGAGGAATTTATCTTTATTTAATTCCCTTGTCGGAGTCCAAAAACAGCTCTATGGAAGAAATTGTGTTGTCAAGAGGCCACACACGTCACGGATTAATAATGTGTACCTATTTTGTACCCACTTTATTATGTTTGTACTTTTTATGCAACAGAATTTCCTCATTAGTGACGTAATTCCAGTTCAGTAATTCCTTCTTCAGATTCCAAGAGCATTCATTAATTTTATTATTATTTATTTACACACACATTTAAACACACACCTACAAAACTATGTTCCAAAATCCTTTTTAAAAGTACCTGGTCAACTTTCAAAAAATGAGTTTACAGTCAACGTTTATGCTATAGCTAATATTAGCAAGTGACTCTCAAGATGCTAGAATTTCAATCAAGATAAACAGTTTAGAAAACTTCACTTGTTCGTTCTGAAAATGCTATAATTATGCCGAGAAGGTCATTTTAATAATTTTATTTTACGACAAATTAGAATAAAAGGGGCGTAAGAACGAATTTAATAATCGGTTTAAATATCCTTTAAAATTTAAATTAACTTTTCACGTTGTAACAAGAAACTGAAGCCACGTTAAATTCGAGGAACTTTAGCCTTGTTGAAGAAAGTTAAAATAGGAGAAATGAAACCGACAAAATATAATACGGCTACAGATAACACCTGTTAAAATTAAAGTTTTTTCAAGCGCAAAATAAATGTAATTACTTACAATTAAATAAAAATGTATCACATGTTTTCTACGAAACAGTTAAAAATCACGATTGTTCGTGTTATTTCTGATATTTTTGTGTAATATTTGAACAATTTGATAAGACTGCCATCTTAAAAAAATCTGTTTATTTGTACTTGTTTATTTGGTGTTAGTAATGTACATATAGGATCGCACATCGTACTGACAAATGTAAATGAATAAATGAATGTTATGGAATTCGATTCAAGTTAAAAGGCAATACATGGAGTGAGAGTGTTTTTTATTGTAAGTTGAAAAAACAAAATTGAAACCTTTGTAAAACGTAATATTCCGACTTTTATCGCAATTCCAATTCGCAGACCGAAATATTTTCAAATGAACTGATACTGTTTTAAGTGTAAAAAACAGGGTTAGAAAAGCACTTTACATGCATGGAATATTAGGTGTTCTTTTCCTCCTGTTTCTCCCAACTTGCAAGTTTAATTACATTTCGTTTGCGGAAATCCAACTTGTCAGAGCAAAGTGTTATTGCCGGGACCTAGAGAATCATAAAAATATTTAATTAGCAAAGACGCGTAAACAC